GAGAGATTAGAGGTAGCTAATCAATGCAGGGATATAGGCCAAATTTGCATAGAAAGCCTTTAAATTTCATGCAGCTTTGCTAGGCTACCCTAAACTAGTTAATCTCTTGGCAAGATTTATAGACCAAAAGCTTTTCCCATTTCAGATCAGAAATTGAGTTCTTAAATTTATTTTTTTAAAAAATTTATTTAAAAAAGACCCCCAAACCCAAAACTTAATAAAACTGACCATGGTGTCCTTTACAGTCCTAGAATTTTGGGCCTAAGTGGATAGTATCTACTGGTCGTGTAAGCTCCTGAGGAAGGAAACGTCATCTGGCTTGTTCCCCAGCGTATTCCCAATGCCCAGAGAAGTGGAGAGCTATGTTATCTCTGTTGTCATCTGAAAGCCTCCTGGTACATTTTCTCCCACAAAGCGAAGCCAACCAGCTCACTGGAATGTGATCAACTCCCTTGATGGTGAACGCACTGTGACAACAGAGATGAACTTGAACTGGAAGCTTGGGTCCTCGTGATGAATCTTTTAAGGGAGCTCTGATTTATTGGGGGTGAAAGTCAGGGCCCTATAAAACTTTTTCTGTGGAAGAATTAGTCAATACAGTAGTCACTTGTGAAACATTGGTGCCAGTCAACACTGACTTGACTTTGAACTGGGATGTGTGGTCAAAGGTCATGTGGTAATGGTCGCATTCACCACATCGGCCACAACATGATAAGCATTGTAGAATATAAACAAGACAGTACAGCTCAGCTCCATGGCTGATAGCAGAGAAGAGTTTCACTGCTGCCTACAGATTAAAATGAACCACAGCAAAGCACAAAAAATCATTGTAATCAGGAAACAGTAATTGGCTGCATCCGTGAGACTTGGCCGGACTCCAGCTGGTCTATCTGGAGAGACGGTAGTGGAAAGAGCCCTGGGATTGGGATGAGAGACCTGAATTCAGGTGCTAACTCTGTCACTTACCAGGTGGGTTACCGTGGGAAACTGACTTAACCCCTCTAATTCCTAATTCTTTGTCTCTACAGCAATAGGATCAGGGGTCCTAAAGGATTTTTCTGAAGGGAAATGTTGCCATTCAAAATAAGACCCTGAAGGAAAAGATGCGTCTTTCAGTTTTTAGCCTACAAATTATCTATAAGGTAGATTTCCTACTATATTTTTCAATCCTAAATTGGCTTCTTCTGTTGCTACTGGGACACTTCCAAGCAAGCTTCCCCTGCCAAACAGCCATTGTGTTTATGGGAATAAATAGTTAGCTGAATTCTCATGCTCTCCTGCTTCAAGGAGAAAAAGCACACCTCCTAAGCTGTGTGGGGAGAAGACCCCGCCCCCCCCCACAGTGGCCTCTTTTATCCTGATAAACATTCCTGGTCCTACATAAATCCATTAGAGGCCTCCCCCTGCTAAAGTACATCGCCATAGCCTCCAATAACAATGAGGATAATGATAGTGGCGTTAATAATGACATACAGTTAGTGTGACATGGCCTCTGGTCTCTGGCAACCTCAGGTGCTTGATTTTATAGGGATACTGGCTTCCTTCAGCCTCGTCCTTCGAGATTGCATGAAAGGCTTTAGTTGCCATGTTAATGAGATGGATGATGGGATTAGTAGCCAACTTAGGTTTTGGTAAAAGTGAGTCATGTTATTAGCAAGCATGCTTATTAAGAAAAGTCTCTGTAAACTTTAATTTATGGAAAAATAGGATGATTCTTGGTGTAGATGCCTTTTGTTAATTAGAAACCTAAGATTTTTCTTAAATTGTTGAATAAAAACCAGAAATTAGATAAAAAATCAGATTGATCTCAAACTCAAGAAATGGTGGTATTTCTTATATTTTCCTCTCTGCTCTGTATTTTCCGTCATGCATTTCCATATGAGTGGGCATTAAAAGACAGTGACCCCATTTTTACAGATTTCCTCTTAGAATCTCTACTGCCCTATGTGAAATAGCAGAGTAAAGAAGGAACTAATTTATGGAACGTCAGTCATACGCCAGGTTCTGTGGTGTCAGACTTGACTTCCTCACCTGTAAAATGCATCAGGATAATAAGAATTGGTGCATTTTGAGTTATTAGGAGCATTACGATAATATGCATTGAATC